ACTTAGCTTTTTGCTTTCATGTATGCCCTTGCACAGGTTTTATCAGCTTTTATCAGTTTTATCATACAAAATAAAAATAAGCTGCAAACTGTGCATTCGTTATCCATCCAGGAGAAAAACAGCAGACAGCTCTACTAAAACAAGTGCTTAGCAACTGCAGCCCAAATACTCTGTGTAACAACAGTTTACTACCATAATCCATTTTCTGCATGAAATTTCAATGGAAAGTTACGAGTCAGGAAAGCTAAAGCCTACAGATACTAAAATAGTGTTTCCCTGAGCACCATAAACAGAAAAGTAACTGTAGGTACCACATGGGAATGGCGAACTTAACGTGAGATATGTTAATGTGTAAAACAAAGGTATCAGAAACAAAAGATCTCTTGCAGACTAAAGAACATGGCAGAATTGGAAGACTTGTTTTCAACTTCTTTGCACACTTCTCTGATTTTTTTTTTAATAAATTATTATTACTCATGACGGATAATTAAACTAAAATAGCTGATTTTATTTTCCTTTCCTCTGAAGTGACAAGAAATGTTTGTGTTAAACAAACTACACATGACACCTTATTTAAGAGTTTGACTTAAATGTCACAGAGAAGATTTTTCTAAAGGTTCTGCAATATTCAAGACCTTCGCTGTATTATTGAGTGGATCTCCCCAATTCTATTTTCAAGACGCAGACAACGACTCCACCTGGTGGCCAGCAATCAGAACATGTGCAACCTCCACACACCTGCTGCCCTCCCAAACTTACTTGAGAAAGAGCTCCTGCACTGCTGCAGTTTTTGGCCTTGTCTATGACAGTCTATCAAATGCCAGCAGTTGATAAAATAATAAGTTTGCCAGGCTAGGCTGGACACCACAGTGGGCCCAGCAACTGCTGTCTAAGTAAAGCAGAGGTCCCTGACACAGAGACAATGCTGGTAGTACTTTCAGCTGTTCAGTGTTAATCTATTAGAATTGGTATATATACAGTTGCATATCACAGAAAAATCTAAAAAACACTTTTACAAATATGGAGCAACTGCAGTAATCAATTTAAAAAAAAAAAAAATGAAATCCCAGACTTACCCAAAACCCCAGCCATCAATTGCACTGGCGAACACCACATTCCCATGTTCTGGTGAAAAATACAGATGTGAATCATCAGTATCTTCCAATCCAGTACTCCAGTCATAAATTTGATCTCCTGGAGCAGTGTCTGAAACGCTTTCACTTTCTGTTTCTTTCTCAGCTCTTTCTTCTAACACTTTGGAGGTAAAGAGTGTTCCAGTGACTGCATTGATCTAAGAAGGATACGTGAAAACATCCTCAGATTCATGCACTCTTTCACAACCCTTGCAACTAAAATGCAATTCCCCACCCTCCAAAACATAAAGAGAGAAGTTCTGTTAACAACATAGCATTGCCTATGATTCATTTGGCAATTTCAAACACAGACATAGTGTATCTAATTCTGCACATCTGAAGACAACAGGAGTTTATGACACTAACACCATATGAGACATAAACACCACGGAGTTTTCAAGTGAAAGTCCACCACACCAGAACTGAATCAGATAATGAGGATCATGAGTAACACACTTGGCCCCTCAGAACAAGGAATGGTGAAACAGAAACTTGTTACTGGCAACAAACAAACAACAGAGGGAAAAGGGAAGCCAGGTAGGGAAGTGCTTAAAAGTAAACTCTGGGGGAAAAAGTTTGAGGGCAACTTAAATTAAAACCTAAAAGATGAATCAACTTTATTCCTACATAAACCAATCAATATCAGGAGCACTCCAAAGAGATAATTCATCTACCTCCAAAAAAATTTAAGCAATTTAACAGGAAGAAGACAACATTCAGCATATTATTTCTAAAAATGAAGACTCTTCCTGATGACCTGTCAAGAGGCATTTAACACTCTTTTTCTCCATCACAGGCTTTCTGAACGAACCTCAAAACCTACTGAAAGAAGATGTATCCCAGTGTTTAAAATTAGACTAAATGTTACAGTGCAACAAAATCTGCTGTGTGAACATGGCACTAAGGCCTGAATACCTGTTCTAAGATATTCTTAAGGTGCAAGTATGCTTCCTGAGGGGTGAGCTTCAGCTCCACAATCAAGCGATCGATTTTGTTAATCACCAACACTGGACGTATATTTTCCAGCCATGCTTGTCGCAGGACTGCTTGAGTCTAAGAAGGAAATAGTTTTAAAAAATATCCATTACAGAAGGCTTGATACCACAGAAAAAGATAGCATATTAAAAAAGAAAATATAATCCTAAAATTTAATAAACATATAGTAAAGGACAGGTTGACACTCAAACCAAAAACCTGACTCCCATGGTGTACAGTGCTAGTTACTGAAGAATTCTGCAGAATGGCAGAACTTCATGGCAAAAACACCCACAATAACAAAAAAACCCAACTATTTAGAAAACTGTGTTCCTTTTTCATGGCTATCTCAGTTTTATTTTGTGTATTTTTTCACTTTCAAAACCCTAGAAGTTCATGTAAATACATGAAATTACTTCTTTAAAGAATTCTCTACACAAATATTCCATTACCTGCAAAATTGCATACTCAGTTTCAACCCTGCATCATTACACCCACTCACCAGCACTGTTCAGTTTTTCAAGCACAACTACTTTCATACCTCAAGTGCACTGCCATTTATTAAAAGTTTCACAAAACTTCTTAAACACCTCATCTTTCATTTCCACATAACACACTTTAGACTTCACTTACTCTGTCTTCCCTACCCTCTTTCTCTGTTTAATACACTTTATTTCACCTGTGGACAGACTCCTTCAACAGCATCCACCACTATGATGCAACCATCACAGAGTCGGACAGCAGTAGATACTTCTGAAGAAAAATCCACGTGCCCTGGGGAGTCTATTAAATTTATGAGATACTCCTGATCACCTAGGATCAAACAATAAATTAATATTTCAGAACAGTTTTCAAAAAATATTTATTTCAGCCACCCAGTTATTCTGCTTCAGCTATTATTTGTAACTGTCATGACACAAACTCCACTACAAAAAACCTTTACAGCACAGTGTAGCAGGCATCTTGGCACAGTAGTAAAGACTGTACTAAACTTGGTTTTTTGAAAGAAGTTCTTGCCTTTAAGTGCCATTAATTCAAGATTTAAGATTAAAATTTAAGTACTTAGATTTAAAATAAAAAGACAAAGTTAACTACTTTTACAGCCTCCATTCAGAGATAGGATTGAAGACGTTTTTGCTAATCCTGAGATGGAACTCAAATATCTTGGCTGACTGTTGAATGCATGCCTAAGTCTCTGCAGAACCCACAAACTCCTAAATGGCCAAAACACAAAAAAAAAAAACCACAAAAGAGGGAAATACAAAAATAAAAGCTGCACACAAAAAGTTCACAACAACAATAACAAGGAGACGAGAAGAACTAACAAAAATATGTATTCACACTTGCCAGCACAAAAAACTTACCTTTCACAAAGTGCAGTGAAATTGCACTAGATTTCATTGTTATTCCTCGGATCTGCTCATCTTCTCTACTGTCTAGATATCTCAGCTGAGTATAAAAACAAAAGAACAGGTGATGAGTCTGCAGAATTATCTCCACAGTTTCTTATCCACTGTCAAAGACTGTGACTGCAGGAAAACAAGGTTTACCAAGACTAGAATTGGACTTTTCTTAATCATCACAGATTTACAATCCCAGCATGCATACACCAGAATTTTGTTAAAAATGACAGTGTAACTCTACCTTTCCTGCCAAGCGGCTAGAGATTATTCCATTGCTAGATATAAGACAATCAGCTAGAGTAGTTTTGCCTGAAAAGAAAAATAAATTACTTAGATTAAATGAATACAAACAATGGCAAAAGATGCAACAATATTATGAATGCTGACAACAAGCAGCGTTCTAAAATATGAACACTAATAAAGGCTTTTAAGTACCACAAAAGTGTAAATTAACTTTCAAAAAACTAAATCCGATTATTCAGCTTGACCTGTTAGGTACACATGAATTTATTTTTGAAGAGTGGATGTAAGCTTACCTGTCATGACCAGAAAAGCAATTGAAATAACAAACAGTACATCAAAACCTCAGTATAGCAGGCAATTAGACAAAATATTTGTGTTATGTTTATTATTTCCACCAATTTAACAAAGTTGTTGTAGTAAGGAAATACAGAAAAACAGTAGCCATTGACTGTAAAAACTTCAGTGACATTTGTTTTAAACGACAAGCTTTCTGCATGTTTAATTCAATTATTTGTATTATTAAAGTGGGTTTTGGATGGAGAATTTTCAATTGAGTTGAACCTTATTTTGTGCTCTCTCACTGTGTTATCTCACCATCTTTATACTTGCATGTGTTTCACGTTGACATTCACTATCACAGAAGTAGAAAACATTGTTTCAACTATTCCAAATTACTACAGTATAATGCTCTCTTAAATTCTTAAAGATAAGCTGTTCCAGGCCAAGAAAAAGGTGCATAAAGCAAATTTATTTCCCTGAATCAGGTTTAAGACAGTTTAAAACTAAACCCATGAAAACCTACTGCTTTGAAACAGTGACCAGAACATCCCACCACCGTTCCAACACACACAAGTTTCCTCTGGGGGTCTCTTGCCAGCCACGAACACCTGCCTTACCATGATCCACGTGGGCTAATATACAGATATTCCTGATGCCGGACGTCTTCTTCTGGAGGCCAACCATCTTTTCCACGCTGGTGAGCACCATGGTGGGCTAACTCTGTGAGCGGAGAGAAGAAGTATTTTATTTAGGAGTCAACTTAAGAAGACGCTTGGGTTGCTTTTTTTTTTTTTTAATTCCGTAAACTGCGATTAGCGCTGCTCATCGGGGAAACCGCGTGGAGCTCGTCACGTCCCTGCGCCGCACCCTGTACACCTGAAACTCGGCGGGCACGGGCCGTGCTCGGACTTTGAGCGGGTGCAGGAGGCTGGGCTGGGTCAGGTTTGGCTAGGGACGAACTCGGAGCCGCCCGGGAGCCGCACAAACCTCACGGGTCACCCTCCGGCCGCGGTCCGCCCTCCCAGCGGGCACCGCCGCGCTGCCCCCGCGGCTGCCCCGGGAGAGCGGCACAGCCCTGCCCGGGGTGAGGGCCGGGGAAAGAGGGGAGCCAGCCCTGCTGCCCCCGCGCCCGTCCCGGAGCGGGGAACACGAACCTTCCCTCACTCGGGCGCCGCTCCCGGAACCCGTCCCGGCGCCGCCGCCGCTCCCGATCCCGCCCCGTGACGCGGGACGGAAGCCGGGCCGGGCCCGCGGCGCCGCCGTTGCCCTGGTTACCGGCCGGGCGGCCGCAGCGGGGATGGGCCCGCCGCGCTGCCTGTGCGAGATCTGCTCCTGCGGGTGAGTACGGCCCGCTCCCCGCGGATCCGCGGACGGCGCCACGATCTGCTGGAGGGCAGGAAGGCTCTGCGGGGGGACCCGGAGGGGCTGCACCGATGGGTCGGGGCCAACGGTGTGGTGTTCGACAGGGCCAAGTGCCGGGTCCTGTCACAACAACCCCGCGGAGCGCTGCGATCTTGGGGCAGAGTGGCTGGAAAGCGGCCCAGCAGAAAAAGACCTGGGGGTGCTGGTCGACAGGGTCTGATCGTGTGCCCAGGTGGCAATACGGCCAATGGCATCCTGGGCTGTGTCAGGAACAGTGAGGCAGGACAGCAGGACTAAACATCAGGATCAGGCTTTTCCATAAAGCCAGCTCATGCTGAAGGACTGCGCAAAAGTTGGATGAGTTCTCACAACCTCGTAAGAAACCTGTGAAAAGCACTGCAGCCTTTTGAGATTTAATAGATCTGCCTTTTTGCTCTCACATCCAGCAGCTCCCACCACTGTTACTTTACACTAAGTGGTCCCACACAGACACAAACAGTTCATCATTGCCCTGTAGCCTCTGTGGCCCAGGGAGGCTGGCACAAGAGGGTACAGTAGGCAGTTTTTTGTTTAAAATTACAGGTCTCTAAGCAATATTATTTATGTCAGAGGGAAAAAAATTCACGAGTCAGGTTTCCCAAAATAATAAGTGATTTAAACCTCACAAAATTCAGATCTATGTTTATAGCTTCAGTCACTACTGTTAATATTTTCTTCTCCTAATTTCTTCTTTAAAAAAGCCCGACCAAACCAAAACCAGAAAAATCATCATCACAGGATTCAAAGATTCAGTCTTTAGTATTAAAAAAAAAAAAAAACAAAACTAACAACTACATACAAGATGAATCATAGTAAGATCCCAAGAGTGTGCTCAATATTTTTTTGGGAGTATTGGGCCAACCCTAAGGCTGCAAAGGGCACTATGAACTACAGGTTTCAAATCTCTGGAAGGTCTGTATAGCAGACACACTTACATGATTCTGTGGTGAGAAGTCTATCTGTTTATGAGCCACCTTTTTTTTAATCTGTAGACAGAGATCAGAGGCAGGCAGTGAATAAAACTCCTCACATTATTTTTGTCTGAGACTGGTGAATTTTGCCCCATATAATTGTTTCAAAAGTCTTAGATTAATGAAGAGTTGGAAAGCATTGTTTTCATGATGAGATAACAAATCTGGCTCAGGCTCAAGTATAAAGATGGTGAGATAACACAGTGAGAGAGCACAAAATAAGGTTCAACTCAACTGAAAATTCTCCATCCAAAAACCTACTTTAATAATACAAATAATTGAATTAAACATGCAGAAATCTTGTGGTTTAAAACAAACATCACTGAAGTTTTTACAGTCAATAGGCTCTTCAGCCATTATTGGTTTAGGCAGCACATTGTGTTTGCTTCAGTGTATAGTGTTTCTGTTTTTGGGGGAAGGCTGGTCACTTGGCAGTGTTACCCTAGAAGAGATTTCAAAGCAAATATAAAGATCCAATGTTTTGTACAAGTTATCATTTAGCTATTTGCAGAAAATTTTGTGGACATATAATTACTGCTTAATTCTAAATAGTAAAATAAAAGGAAAAAAATCTTTCCCAGCTTTTCGCAGAAGAAAAAAAAACAACAAAACAAGAAAAAACAAACAAACAAACAAACCCCAAACAAACAAACAAAACTAAAAACCTTACAAATACAGGGGGAAAAGCCAGTAAGAGAGAATTTTATTCTGCTTTCTCTAATACAGGATGTGAAATCTGACTTCCAAAGAAGAAAAAAGCCTCTCTGGTAGATGAACTCTCTGCACTCAAGAATAGTATTTGTCTGCTATAAAAGATAGATAAGATGTATACAAAGATGCATACGAAAGCATAAGAGATACATGAAAGATGCTTACAAAAGCATAAAAGTTTCATTTTAAGATCCAAAAATAAACTGCTGCTTTATCTTCTCAATATGTCAGCTGCCCCTCACTTACTGCACTTTTGTTATCATTATCATAAAAATCTAGATTCTGGAATAAATGCAAGTTAGAAGGAAAGAGGAAGATCTCTCTAAAATATGAGTTAAGCCATCATACTGACCACATGGAAATGACACGAAAACTCCTCTCTGGGAGGACAAGGCTTTGTGGGAAAATTTCAAGGGTCTATCTAGCATTACATAAAAAACAAACATATGTATGCCAGGCCCTAAATAAGTGAAATGCACCAGCATTCTATTAAGATAACCAGAACAACAGCATTTGGCACTAGAGAGCTCATATACTGTCACTTCTCGTTAGCTGAGATTCTCTTCAGACCTTTTGCAAGCCACAAGATAGTTGGTCTCTCTCAAAGAAGGGAAGAATAATAATCCATCAAAGCAGGCACCAGTCAGTCATGGGAAAAGGCACATTCTCACCAAACTAGTTTGAATTATCAGTAACTCTGGGGTTGAAATTAAGATAAATACGAGGAAAAACAAGTTAAAAATAATCAGTGTTTCAAGGAGTTCTGGCCAAACATATTTCATTTATCAGAGCTACAATTTGTCTTCTCTGAGGATTTGTAGCATTGTGATGGCCTGTATAAAGTTATTATCTAAATGAAAACTTTTGTGTTAGCTGCTGGACAACATCCTGAAGTAGATTTATTGGTTTACCAAAAATACCCTGATCTCTTCTCCAAGTCAAATTCATGTTGATATTAAGGTAGTTTTACATTGCCAATTAGACCCACTGAAAGTACTTTCACAATACAGAGTAGGATGTAGGATCTTCCTGAGCAGTCTCATCTAATTCCAAGTAATTCTGTACATAGAGTCTGCTCAGAGTTATTTCATGTACTAGAAATGAGTGGGATGAAGGACATGTTTAGATCAGCAATGTATTCTAATAAAATCGCAAAAATCTCATTTCTTGGAGAGATAGAGTAGATCACTTTCACCTCTGGGTTAAAGCTACCAAGACCTACAGGCTCAGTCTGCAAGTAATTATTTTTCTAGTGTCTATTTCTATTTGTAGCATGTCCATTCAGCAATACCTGGGATATACTGACAAGGTTGCTTCAAAAATATTCAGAATTAAGTCCTTAAAGCCTGATGACACCAGAGCAGAAGAGGTGTTTTTATTTGATTATTGGTCTGGACCAGCATATGGCAACATGAAGACTGTCACAATGAAGTTTTTGCAGATGAATAGTGTTTGTCTCAAACTCCTTTTTATGCCAAAAAAATACATGAAGAACACTGTAATTTGATAACCTATATTTCAACTAGCTTTCAAAGCACCCATTCAATGTTTTTTGTTTCTGCATAGCTGTTACTTTTAGAAGCTCCATGACACAGCATATGCTGTTTATACTTTCTGAAAAAAACATTACAAAGGTGAAAACTGAGTTTCATGACAAATGTAATGACAAGCAAACACTGTGCTGGGAAATAGCACACACTTACCTCCTTGTTTTCCTACCTTTCCTGTTCTTGCCTTCTTCTTCCTTTTTCCTTTCCCTTCTATGTTCTGAAAAGGTCTCTCAGTTGTTACTTGACTTGATTGAAAAGGAGTAAGGACCTTGGGCTTTGAAAGGATCTGGATTCTTAGATAGGGCTACTTCATTTCTCATTTTTTGAACTACTGAGCTGGCAAACTCAGGCAGCACAAACTAATCCCAGCTTCAGAATCTCCAGTCTCAAATAACTTCTTTTAGTGGTTTTTCCATTTTCATTTTTTCATTTTCCCAACAGGAGTTCTTTATGTCTGTTTCTGTATTCTGTTTTACCTTGCTTTAATTTATTGTTTTTCTTTTTGGTATTCAGTGCTAGCTAAACTTCTCTGCAGACCTTTGAACTATTCCTTGGATATCTACCTTCCTGAAACTTGAATTTATTTGTACTCAGTCGGAGCTGCACCCTTTTACCCTTCTGGGTTTTTAGATATTTTTGCTTTTCACGTATAGAATTTTACAACACTTTTTATTTGAAAAAATTATTTATTGTTTTCCCTTTGCTCATATCTGAACCAGTACTGCAAGTTGTCAGCCAGAAGGAGGAAGATCTTTCGTTACATATTTCCTTGAGGGAGAGATCAAACAACAATCGCTTCAGCCAGAGAGATGGGTGTTATGCAAAATTAGAATGAATATAACAAGATTTTCAAAATAATAATAACATGTAAATTTTAATTTCATGAATCATTTATGCAAAACAACAAGGTATAAGTAATAAACTGTCATAGCATACCTTTGAGCACAATGGTGTCATTGATATAGGCATCAGTGACAAGCAGGTGTAATTGAAATAAAACCTAATAAGAGAAGTTGTTACTTCTAAATAAACATGGGTTTGGGATAGAGGATTTAGATAGTCCTTGGAGGGAAAAAAAGGGTTAAAATGTCAGAAATGGTCTGCAGAACACCAGAGATTTCACACTGCTAAAATTTTAATCAGAAAGTGTTAACAATAGTGGTAAAAATAGGTGAGATGTACAGAAATAAAAAGACAAGTGATAAGGGAATAGAGTAAAAAAGAGGCAATATGAGACAAGAAATGTAGTTAGTGATCTTTAGAAGTAAAACTAATAATATTGATAAAGATTAAAGAAAAGAGAGGAAAGCTATCATTGAGAGGACTGAGATCAACTCTATCCATCCCTTGTCCTCTGTCCCAAGGACTAACTCACATCTGATACTGGTTTTATTAATGTATTAGTGTACTGTGCTCTGGGACCCGTGCCACCAGCCATCAACACTTCGTGGTTTTCTCACTCAGAAAAGATTTTAAACCGGAACTACTGACCCTGTTCCATCTTCCCCATTTGTTGTTCCCTCCCAGTAGGCGGTGTTGTGGGTTTTCCTGCGAAATGAAACTGTTCAGAATGATCTCACCTGATGTGTTTTGCCCAGGCGCCATCGCTGCTGCCACAAACGCACAAAGATTTACGACGATGGGCTGCCACCGAGCCACAGAACCGAGTATGTGGACAAATACCCCGGCTATGGCAACATCTGCCCTCCCAGCAGCTGTAAGCCCAAACCCGAGTTCCAACAGCACCGCGGCAAAATGGATGGAACCTCGATATTTAAGTAAATATTTCGAAGCAATGTGTTTTACCGTTCCTCTGTGAAGCTTTTCTTAAGGTGGGGGGGGAGGGACTAAACACAGCATTGCTGTCTTCTCATTGCATCCTTTACACTTTTTGCATATTTAAGGTATAAATTTTGAGTACAGAAACACTGCTACCACAGAAAGGTTGTAAAAAATAGGCAAAGCACGCATACAGGAAGATTTGCATTATTTACAGCATCCTTTAGCCTGTAAAGATTATTTAAATTTTTTGTCCGTGCTTTCAGCCTGTTTAGGAAATCTGGGTCTTGTGGAGCCTGAAAAGCTGGCAAGCTGTGGAACTTTCTGCAGTACACATGTGGAATCTGAGATAGTGGGAAAAGGAAATCTTAAAAATGAAATTATTTTTATTCGTAGTTCTAAATGATTAATTTCAAGAAAGCCAGCTGTAAAGGGGTTTAATAGTTGTCACTGCTTACAGAATTAAAGAGTATCTTTCAAAGAGAAAAAGACATCACTTACTCATTGTTAGTGATGTGACAGGCACACCAACCTTTACTTTTCCATTATTATTTTTCTTTCAAGCTATGTTTATTAAAAAAAGAGACATAAATAAATAAAAAGCCCAAATGCCATTCTGCCAGATTGGTCATGTACTGTATGGACTGTTTAAACACCCACATATGTAATATACACCCTTTTAATGTAATGTGCCCATATAAAACCAGTGAAATTATGTTTCTGATTATATTCCATCCTCCTCATGCCATTAGTAAATGCTACCGCTTATAGTAGTTTGAGCTTTCCTCTGCTTCTGTTTTCTGGATTTCTTTGCAAAATTATAGCAACTTTTTAAGTCTCCTTTCAAATATTTAAAATAATATTTTTAGACTGTGTATGAGATTCAGAGTATTGAAGAAGTTGCTTCACCATCTACCTTTGAATAAAGGCTCTATCATGCATCAGAGTCCCTGGAATTTATGTACTACAGTTTCCTTCCCTGCGTGCTACTCCTCTAACATACGGCATCAGGTTGATTTTTCACAGTAAACATCTTAAGTTGTAACTTCTCCATATAGTGGAAAAAAATTGACTTCATCAGGGAAAAAAGTTGGGTTTTTTAACAAGTCTTTTCTTTTTCCCCATTCAGAACTGATTATTTACCATATGAAGTTGTGAAGAGACCTTTTCGGGCACCAGCAGAATACAGACCAAAGTCGGGAAAGATTGACCTGGGGACCATATACCAGAGAGATTATAACCCTCATAAAGTAGGACCAGTGACACTGGCAAGACCCAGAGAGAGAAAACACACGACAGATGCAAAATTGGATACCATACCGACCTACCGAGGTAATAAGATATGCCACCTACAGAATGAGAAATAACCAAGATGAAGGGAGTATTCTGAATAATCTGCATTAGAAACTGAATTTCTTATTTTGGGACAAAGTAAGACCTAATAGAAAGCAGGTCATAATGTCTTAAAATGTTGAACACTCCAGTTGTTCATCAGAGGTGGCATTTATTGGTTCTAAATGAAAAGCCTTCTCTGAGGTTTTCTTGGCTAGAAGGAAATACACTTGGTTAGGCTATCTCATGCAAAAGTGGATTGTAATTAAAGTGCAATATATCTTTCAGGTAGTTTTAGTTCATGTGACATTTATTTTGCCACAGAGTAGGTCAAGAGTGGATTTTGGATTTCTGCTTGTGTATGTTATAGCTTATGTATATGTCATCCTAGTAAGGATCTGTCTTGACACAAATTGTTCTATTACAACAGTCAGCAGAAAGGAGTTAAATCTCCTTTTATGTCATTCTGGGAAGTGACCTTGATATACTTTAAACCACTAGACAATTTTATATGCGTGTTACTGAATTTGTTACATGTACTGCGTTTTAGCCAGTTAAAAGTAAGTAGAAATAAATTACAAGATACAATCTACTGAAAATCAAGGTATTCCACAAAAATCCAGATGTTCCACATTACGGTAAGTGTGGTATCGAAGAGATAGTTGAAATAACAAGGATCAAATACGGGTATTAAACAAGAGGTTAGAATTCTGGGTGTGAAATGAGCAGAGGAGAGAGTGCAGCAACAGAAGAGCTGGAAGGATAAAATATGGGAAAACAGTCTCTTTAAAATCAGTTATACTGCACTAGCTTCTTCAAGCTTAGGCCTCTGCTAGACAAAATGCATATATAAAAATACATTCTATTTATATTTATTAACTGTAAATAGTTATAAGGGAATTTAAATATTTCTGTTTAGCCTGCACATAAGTAGTAAGGAAATAATTAATAAATTAGCCTTGTCTCAGCACACAACTAAGAAAGCACGCAATTGTTTCATTTAAAATGCATGTTAGCAACATGAAACAGGGATTAAGGATGAAGGAGTGAAAAAACACCAAGTACAGGAATTGCAAATCAAAAAACTGATTTCAAGTGCCCGTGAAGAAGTTTAGACTAGGCAGTTTTTGTAACTATAGCAGAACAGTCTGGCAAAGAAAACAAAAATCCCAAGAAGCTTTAAAAGGATGTAATGTTGATATGGAAATTAAGAAATGATTCTATCAAGCAGTTGTGAACATGACCCATTGACCTATAAAGTTCCTTTCACTCTTGTATACTTGCATAAACTTCTAAGTAAAATGGAAGATATTGTATGTAAAACCTGTATAGGGCTATTTTCTGTATAAAACACACACTAAATAAGCACAGGCAACTTTTTTTTTTTTTGAGAATATAGTCAAAACAGGGCATCCTGTAAAATTTTGTCTGTTTTAATCACACACTATAAGAGAAGACAGTTTTGTCATACGACAAACACGCAGGCAAAATCATCCCTCTCATCCATTTTCTTTGTATTGCAAGATTTAATACCAGACGAATTTTTGTCTTAATTTTAAAGGAATGGTCTTAAGAACACCCGTGTGGTGGAATTTCGGTTTTGCCTTCCAGATGACTATAGGTTATGGGAAGCTCAGCGAACGGAATCTTGTAAGGTGGAGCGCACATACGAGCCACCTACAGAGAGGTTTGGAAATCCTTCTACCTTTCAAGATGACTATATTCCCAGGGAACCCAATCCCCCAGAAAGTTTTAAACCTTCTGCAGCCAAGCTGCCAGATGGGCCTTTCGACGGGAACACCATCCATCGCACCGCTTATGTTGTTCATGAGATGGAACCACCGTTCGTAAGACCAAAAGAAGAGTACAAGCCATGCGACCAACCCTTTGAGGATCTCACAACCCACCAGAGAGACTTCAAAGGGATACCTGGGCAACAGGCAAAAAGCTGCAGGCCTGAACACAGAAAAGTTGGATCCGATGCTCCTTTTAATGGAACCACTGAATTCCAGGATCGTTACCAGCCATATCTGGTTTCCTTGCCTGAGTTCCGCAAACCCAGAGAGTACGTTCCACCCACAGACAAGATGGATCTCAACTCCACCAACCGCCTTGATTACATTTCACATGAGATTTCTCCTGCTGCCCCCATAAGACCACCTCATGGAAGACGAATCAGTGCCCCTTTTCAAGGGAACACTACTACAAGAGAAGACTACAAACCTTGGAGCATCTGTCCACGAGGCCTTATTAAGAAAGATCAAGAAATTCAAAAACCCACGGGAAAATTTGCTGATTTAACTACATTCAGATCTCACTACATACCACATCAGGGCACTCCAGCTCAGAGCTGCAAACCTGTACATGTTGTAGGTCTTAACCCAGTTCCTTTTCAAGATGAAACGATGTATCGCATAGAGTATACTCCAAAGAAAAAAGAGATCTGCCCAGCACATCATCCATCTAACCTGGGTTACGTCTACATAAACACAGATTCTCAGGGTCACCAGTTCTTCCGCCGGCTGAGTCCACAACCCTCCGAGTCAAACTGTAATCCCATTCCAAGCGAAGTAGCTGTTGTGACATAATACCGAAGTGCAGTATTTCAAGCACCCCGGTGAAAAAATTGGAATCCAACTTGTTCATTTTTTCTTTAAATAACACCAAAAGCAAATTAAATAACGCAAATTTTGCTTTTAGAAGTTTGAAGAAAACCAAAGCAAAACCAGAAGTTTATTACAAGACCAATAAAGATTTGCCAAATGCTCTAGGAATACTACACCTTACATGGTATCTGTCCTTTTTTTGATTGTACATTCCGATTTTCTTGACTTCCCGGATTTCATTATGCTCCATCTCAAGCATATGTATTGCACATTTAATTCTTCCAGATTTTCTGTAACCAAATGATTGCATTTGTGAAATAGTGTCTTTTGATGGTAAGGTCCTTTACAGACTAAGCAAATAATGCTATCTATAATAATCTAAGCAACCAGTAATAATCTCAGTAATCTGGTAAATTCTTTTTCTTTATATTTTGCTGCCCAAATCACAAGATAGCATGCTATGACACCTAGGCATTTCTAAAGACCTGGGGTTAGCTTTAGTCATCATTACTTTTCCTTCATTCCATTCTAAAGTGAGTATAAAGGTCACACTGTAATTCCTGCCAGCAATTAACAAGTAGTAGTTGAAACCATTCAAACACACCGAAAGCAGATCACCAGACTCTGTTTCCTTATTTCCCTGATCATGCTCTTTCAGCCTACTGATGCAAAGCTCTGGCCACACTGACACCCTCAGTGCATGTGTCCTCAGCAGTTAAGTAATTTTTAAACCCAATGTACAATGAGATTGCATAGATTTTTTTTTTTTTTTTTGAGTTTCTAAGGCAGATGGTGGGGAAGCAGAGAGAATCAGACTCAAAAGGTTAACACCTGCTATCTGATTTTTAAAGCTAAACAGCCAGTTATCATGGCCAGAGTTCACTGCAGAGGCAGTCTGAAGGGAAAAATGGCAGAAAACTGTACAGGTGTAAGTAGAGATAACAGGAAACAGTTAAACTCAGTCAAAAAAAAAGAAATATCAGCTGAGATGCAAAAATCTATAGACAGCCTGGCTTCAGTCTGTCTGCTCTTCAAAGAATTGCTTGTTCCAAATACACAGAAACCACATTTTTTACATTTGATATGACTATGCTTCTGCATGAGATACTTAGTATTTTCTCTATATATCCTTAGCTGGTTTTGAGAAATCTAAATGAACCAATTAGTAGTTCTATGATTAACTGTATCATCATGCTCTATCACAGCACTCCAGTATGATTTTTTTTCTCAGTATTGCATATCTTACACCTATTGGTGTAGAACAGAGTTCTGCAGAATTATGTGCCTGTACTTCATAAACAAAATCAGTCATAGAAGGGCTAAGGGCAATGATGGAAACATTTTGAAAGCAGGAACTTGGCCATATGAAAGCAAGAAAGCCAAACTGAACATATCAGCTGTGCACAAAAGCATTGCATGAGAGAGATCCAGACATTACTAGAGCATCAGTCACTTCTAGGCAATTTTTTTCTTCATACTGTGTTTTGTAGTATGACTTATTCTGTTAATGAAACAGCAATTGTTACACTTTTCTCTCTGAAGATTATTCACGTCCCTCAGACTGTGAATGGACAATGTAGATCTGTGAGATCCTAAAAGTAGCACAGGAAAAAGTCCAATTCATTGTCATCTTTCTTTGCCACAGAAGAAAAAATGCAAACACCCCCTTTAGTCATTCTCTGTCTGGCCACAACTGAGGAGACAACAAAGTCAAACCTTTGCACAGTCACATCTACTCCATATCCTATGCACAACCTTGGTACCTCTTGAGCAGTTTACAGAAGCTCCTAATGCCTTCCAGCTCTCTTTTCTAGGGAGGGAGAAATGCAATCTGAATCCATGAAGTTACGTGTGCCTGCATGTTCTGATCAAAATGGCTCTTCCTCTGAGTCTGTGAGTAGCACAGATGCTTTTTTAAATTTACACAGCTGTTTTTTCAGTTCTGAAGTCACTTCCCTACCCTAAGTTATGGAAAGTAATTTGCTGCCACCTACCAGCACGGTACAAAGATTTTGAGAGGAAGTGGAGGGCATATTCAGATACATTTAACAGTTCCTCTGCAGATGTGTTTGAAGACTTTTAGGGTGGAGGGGCATATTCCCTTTCATTTTGTCCTTAATGTTTTCTCCTAAGTTTAACAGTGAAAGAGAGAACTCTTTATTGCTTTACAGCTGAAAGAGCCACAACATATTGATGGTGCTTCCAGAAAAAGCATCAAATGATACTATAAACCTTCAGACAGTATTCAATATGTGACATCAACTTTTTCATAAGCAACATATTATTGAAATGCAAACCAAATGAAGAGCAGGCTGGAAAACTAATATTTTTTCCAAAATAAGAGCTGTTAAAAAAGCATTTTATGATGTCATGCTAAACCAAGATGTAAAAGCAGAGAAGTTATTTATGGATTCAGTTGCTATTGTAGAAGAGCTTTCCATGCACTTTCCCATACAGCAGCAGGCTGCACAGAACTGCTGTATGGAATCTTTACTTTGTTTTCAAGACTGCAAAAAAAAATGCACTGCTGAACCAAAGGAAAATTAAACAGATCCATGCACCTTTGCCAATACTACCATCTAGGATAACTCTGGAACACCACCTTTCCACTACTAGATATTTATTTTCTATTTAATAAAATTTTGTAAGGCTTTTATTGTACATACTATTTATAAGACTTTTCTTTCTAACAACTATTACCTATATTGGATATTCTGAAACATCTTCTTTTTCATGTAGCTATTCTCATCCCTCACTAAATATAAAACATGGAACTGTTCTGTAGGAACTAAATGAACTCTGCTTGATTCAGTACATGAAGGACCAGCAAAGAAATATAACTTCATTCCACCTTTTACAGAATCCTGATTCTAGATTTCAGTGAATCAGACCTGACTTGTTTGAATTTTGGCAAATTCTCTTCCTTCTTTTTCACTCAGGTTACGTCTATGTTGTCTCTTAATATACTGCAAATCAGACTGTAGTGAAGCTGAGAATCTGTCTGAGAAGCTCTTAAAAATTACAACTGAGGGTTTGAAAAAATCCCAGAATTATGGACATAGTATGTTGATAAAATAACAAAGAATGAAAGCATGTAGTAATAAACAGTCTCTGGGTAATCACAGTGTTGAATAATCAAACTATACTTTATTTCAGAAATATCAAAACTACGTTTAAGAAAGCTAAAATCTTCAGTTACTGGAGAAGCAATAAAATAATCTACAGAGGAATGTCATGCCAATTGCAATAACAAACATTTACAGCACTGCTTCTGAATAGCATGCATACTTAACCATAGACAGAGTTAAGGCAACAAAAAATGCTATGTGTTAACACTTGAAAACTTTAAATATAAAGGGAAAACATGAATAAGAAATTTTGGTAATAAGAAAAAATATATGTCCAAAAATCTTTATTAAACACTGTACAAAACAAAATATTGCACTTTTAAATCAGACAATAAATATCTACAAAAGTATCTTACAAATGTTTTATTTTAATTTAAAAAAAAAAAAAAGGCTTAAACAATCAAGACCCATTGCTGATTTTAAAGGTAATGATCAGGAATATCCTCTCCTTGCAGTCAGCCTTGGACACAACAGTCCACCTTAAACATTTTCTATACAGTAGTGCTAACCTAATTTTCAGTGATGCAAACCCTGTGCAGGAATGCTGTGTGTGAACTGCTCTAACAGCACACCCACTCACCAGCCTGTAACAGCTCAGTGCTGTAACACAAGAGCCAAGTCAATGCAAGCACTCAGGCCTCCAATGTGAGCACTAGTTTGGAAACTACAAAAGAAAAAAAACCATCTATTTTCTGCCTCCTGTGGGGTTCCCTCTGCTTACAGCCCGAATCAGACAATTTGCAATATGGAAAATAATTTAGCCAGGAATATCATAATGAGAATTTATCAACTTGCAAGAGACTCAGATGGTTAATGGTCATGATGAAAAGTCATCTTGATGGAAAACTGCTCAAAATAGACTTCTTTCACTTGTTTATCTTCATAATTAATAATTCCTCCTTGGACATTTTCCCCATTAATGGAGAAAAATAAAACGATTATTCAAGACAGGAAATCTGACAGCCATGTTTGGCCAGTTATTGGCTCCCCATTTGACTTCATGGGCAAGAGAACAGTGATCACAAATGTTTCCTTCACAGCTCTGACAAGGAAGCCTTCTGTCTAATTTATTATCAGTGCTGAAGTGTAATCATGCCAAACTTCGATCTTACTTCAGAGACTGGAATTAGAACAGAAACAATAAAACGTGACACCTCATTTATTCAAAACAGCTTTGAAAATTGTACCAGCATCTGTAGTGTCTTTTACTGCATACACATAAGTACAAGCATGAAAAATTGAATGTGCTTCTGTGTATCCATCTCACAGCTAATATCAGTAAAACATATCCTGTGAGATCAACTCTTCAGCTCAAGCTGTTTATGAAAATGAGGTTGCTGCCAAAAATTTTACAACTACAAGCCACAGCTTCTATAAATTTAAAAACTGTGTTAAATATAATAAAAAAATTGAAAACCTAGGGGTCAATAGTTGCTGCATTTCAAAATTTCTTGAAGTATTTTCGTGACTTTTTCTCTGAAGTTAAGAACAGTAAGCCCTATCTGGTGTTTTTAGGTAATGCCTTTTTCCGCTGATAAAATTATGATGTGATGGCCTGTAAAATGTTACAGATGATATACCATGATATTATCTTGCTAATCCAGACAGGAAAATGTTTAAAACATTAAAAGTTCCATTGCGAAGAGTGAATAATAAAAGTCCCCCCCAAAAATACCCTGTCCAGCACATCAATCTGTAATACTGTTTTTTTCATTAGCCCCACGTTTCCATTTAATTGTTACAACTAATGTCTCATTTACAAGTATATACTTCGAGCATGTTAGATTAATGGACCTCTCTTCTCATCTCTTCACTGCAGCATCATGAACTTGCCATAGAGGACTTACATTTCTTGACATGATTGACAACATCTTTGTTTGTAGGTGTCTATCAAGCACAACTTTAGTTGCTTTACAAATGTACAGTAGTGAGTTGTATCCTTGCATTCGCCTTCTGAAAAATATATGTAGACATTACAAGGCTTTATAATGAACAAAAGAGAAATAGCAGAACTTGTCACTGTAATTGCAAACAACTGATGGATTCCTGGTAGCTTTGTAATTATTTTACTGTGCATTCCTGGCAACAGCTAAACAAGGTCACAAGAGATGTGATCTTGCTCCATTCATTTACTTATTGTCCGTTTCAGAACACTACCCCATCTTGGAGGAATTAACAGCTTGCTCAGAGACTTGTGAGTCACAACTGGCACAGTCATGTAGGAAGTTTGCAAAAAACCAACTTCCTAAATATCCTGTTTCTAAAAGTGCTTTTGAGGCTTTAATATCAAACTGGCCTACTTAGAGAAAAGTAACCCCAGGATTATGAAGTGCTCCTTGGAGAGGATAGTTTTACCTTTGATGTACAATCAAATGCTTGCAGAATCATTAGTGTACAACTGTGAGTCACTTTCTAATATAACTGCTACAAACTATTACTATGCTCATATTTAAATAAACATTTACATACTGCCACAGGATGTGACATTGCAGTGTTGCCAGGTCACTGGTCTCTTCCTCCATCCACAATACTGATCAGCCACAGGTTTGTTACTCTGTCTGTGTACGCAGTACACTCGTCGTGACTGAAATCCGCTCCCACAGTCCACACTGCAAGGCCTCCAAGGGCCTGTCCTCCAATAGACATCACACGCCTCTGAAGAACAGTTTCTTCTGACAGGAGGCCTGTGGAGGGAAATAAGAGGCAGTTAAATCTTTGCTTTTTTGCTAAACCCTTATTCACAGAATGATGTACCCAGTACTGAAAGGGGTGTCTGGAACTGAGTAGCCCACACCTCCTGTTCATAGCACAGTCTACTAGACCAGGATGCTCAAGATCATCTCTGTATCTTGAAGAGGCTCCACAACCTTCCTGGGTAACCTGTTCCAGTTTTTTCTTATATTTAAGTTGAATTCCCTGGATTTAATTTTGTGCCCATTCATCACACCTCCTCACTCATGAGGGAACAAAGGACAAGGCCCTGTGTCTTTAAACCAGTTTCTCAATCCTGGAATAGAAAAAGTGTTTTACTTTTTGGAAAACTTAACTGACCCTGAAACACTAAATACTGGATGCTCCAAGTTCTTAGTGAATAACCTCTCTGGGGTTCCTGAATTCATCCAGTGTGTACAAAGGGATGACTGTTACTACCTCCCTTCCTTGTGTTTGATACAAAAGAATTTACATATTTATACTGCATTGACAATCTTGTACCTTTAATCTGATCATCTAAAGAATCTAACTTGTAACTTCTTCAAACTATTTACCTCTTTCTTTCATCACAAGAAGAGTTTGGCACCAAAGATCCATTACGGAGTTGACATATAAAATGACGATGCTGTAAACCTACAGGGCGGCCTACACAGCGACCAGAACACTGAAAATGGAGAGAAAAAGAAACAACCAAATTAATAACAACAGAATTACCCTTCTAGGCAGCTACTCAACTACAGCTACACAGCCCAGCCATAATTCCTGCTCTGTGTTTCTCCTTCAGCCCTATCACACCTCAGTTCCTGCTTATTTCTAAAGCTAAATCCATTGTTTGCTCTCATAAGGTCACAACACTATTGCTACAACATTCTTTTTGTACTGCTGACAATCACAAACTTGCCTTGCTGAAACCTGTCTTGGGAATGTGGCAACAGTAATTCTAAGTCATTACTTTGCAGATCACATAATAAATACTATTGCCATTTAATGTCAATAATTATAAAAACTGTATCAATATGAACACAAGTTTACTGCATAAAGGAAGAAACAGAAAATAAAGGAAAACTGTTCTGTGCAGTGAACATTGTGGCAACTGCTGTTGAAGCACATGTATATGTTTTCTTCGGGGATTTCAGAATGTGTTCTTTCAGAATTCAAACTGTGTTCTTATAAGACTGCAATAAAAGCAATATACTAGCTTGGAAAATGGAATACATCATAATGGCATAGTTTGTAAAATATACTGAAGCTGATACTCTGGTTTTGGGTCAAGTCTTGAAAAAATAAAAGTTACTCAGATATCACAAAATGAAAAAAAAACACAACAAAACAAACCACACACAAACCCAAAAAAACAACCAACCAACCAAAAACCAAAATCCCCAACCAAAAAACCCAAACCAGGATTTCTAATTGACTGGTCTGAAAGTTAATTACAACTACTGCCACAGAGCTCCTCCCCTGTGCAAGAGGACAGATGTTCAGCCGACAGTGTGATGACACTGACACACTTTTATAATACACGGAGTTTCATGACAAATGCTGTGACTTACCTGTCCCTTTGTCTGCACTGGCCCCACTGAACACGAGTGGCCCGTGCAGGGTTTCCTCCCCACAGGCCGATCCCTGTGTGTACAAGCTCCTGGCGGCAATGTCAGCACGCTGCCATCGGCTTTCATTTGTTGACATGTTAGTTGTCGACGGTGAAATCCATTGCCGCAAGATGCAGAGCACTCAGACCACGGACCAGCCACCCACCTACAGGAGGTACAGACAAATTTATAGCAATTATTGAGAACTTGCTGGTAGCTCACAGCAACTGTTTGCAAATAAAAATCAAAAGAACCTGTCATTGCAAGTTCTGGATGCGAGAAGAGCTAGAATCAGCTTCCTCAGTTAAGCAAGATCTTATAAATGTGGTTAACTGATGCCATATATGCTAACAGAAATTACACTGCCTGTTACCATGCTGGGTAAGCCCTACAGACCCTGCTGGATGTGACATTTCAGAAGGAAGGACAGTGTACTTTTCCATAACTTCCAAAATGAATGGTACCAACTTATTTACTACTATGGTGACAGGTGTCATAACTCATCCAAATTTATTACACAGACATCTCGCTAGATGGTGACTCAAGCAGAACATATTACTTATTGATTAGAAGTTGCAAAGATTTTGTCTGTCTTGGCAGCTAGGAACAACACTGGGGAGGCAGAAGGTGGTAATACAATCTATTTACTTGATCTTTTCATAGATCTAGGCTAGAAATACAGAATGGGACTTTATGTGTAGCACAACAGTGATGACAGGAAAAATGTT